GTAATGTCTGATCCGCACGGCCGCCCAGTCCTGTTATTATTTGGGCGTCGTGGTTGGCCAGCGACAATCAGCCCGCGACGGGACCGTGTGTAATATAGGGACGTCTGCCTAATTGAAAAATATGTATGTCGTTGCAGGTATAATTGGCCGGGTCTCGTCGGCTGTCGCCCCTTTTGTCCCTTCCCTTCCCTTCCTCCCTCTCCCCTTTCTCTTCTCCTCTCTTCCCTCTCCCTCCTTTCTTCCCTTCCTCTTTCTTCTCTTCTCCCTTCTCCCCTCTCCCTTCTTCCTCTCTCCTCTCTCCTACCCCTTCCCCTTCCCCCTCTCCCCTCTCTCTTCATCCCTTCCCTCTTTCCTCCTCCCTCTTTCCTCCTCCCTCTTCCCTTCTCCTTCTCCCTTCTTCCTTCCTCCCTCCTCTCTCTCTCCTCTCTCCCTTCTTTCCCTCCTTCCTCTCTCCCCTCCCTTTCCCCTCTCCCATCTCTCATCTTTCCTTCCTCCCTCTCCCCTCTCCCTTCTTCCTTCCTCCTCCTCTCTCTCTCCTCTCTTCTCCTCTTTCCCTCCTTCCTCTCTCCCCTCCCTTTCCCCTCTCCCATCTCTCATCTTTCCTTCCTCCCTCTCCCCTCTCCCTTCTTCCTTCCTCCTCCTCTCTCCCCTCTCCCTTCTTCCTTCCTCCTCCTCTCTCTCTCCTCTCCCCTTCTTTCCCTCCTTCCTCTCTCCCCTCCCTTTCCCCTCTCCCATCTCTCATCTTTCCTTCCTCCCTCTCCCCTCTCCCTTCTTTCCTTCCTCCCTCTCCCCTCTCCCTTCTTTCCCTCCTTCCTCTCCCCTCTCCCTTCTTTCCTTCCTCCCTCTCCCCTCTCCCTTCTTTCCTTCCTCCCTCTCCCCTCTCCCTTCTTTCCTTCCTCCCTCTCCCCTCTCCCCTCTCCCTTCTTTCCCTCCTTCCTCTCTCCCCTCCCTTTCCCCTCTCCCATCTCTCATCTTTCCTTCCTCCCTCTCCCCTCTCCCTTCTTTCCTTCCTCACTCTCCCCTCTCCCTTCTTTCCTTCCTCCCTCTCCCCTCTCCCTTCTTTCCTTCCTCCCTCTCCCCTCTCCCTTCTTTCCCTCCTTCCTCTCTCCCCTCCCTTTCCCCTCTCCCATCTCTCATCTTTCCTTCCTCCCTCTCCCCTCTCCCTTCTTTCCTTCCTCCCTCTCCCCTCTCCCTTCTTTCCCTCCTTCCTCTCTCCCCTCTCCCTTCTTTCCCTCCTTCCTCTCTCCCCTCTCTTCTCTTCTTTCCCTCCCTCCCCTCTCCTCTCTCCCCTCTCCCTTCTTTCCTTCCTCCCTCTCCCCTCTCCCTTCTTTCCTTCCTCCCTCTCCCCTCTCCCTTCTTTCCTTCCTCCCTCTCTATTCTTCTCTCATAACACTCATTCTCCTGTTCTTTTTTTTTTTTTTTTTTTTTTACTTTTCTCTCTCCTCTCCCTTCTCCTCCTTCCTATTTATCCTTCTCTTTCCTTCCCTCCTCCTGTCTATCCCTTCGCAACTCCTTCTCCCCTATTACCTATCCTCCTATCCTCTCTACCTCCTATCTACCCCCTCCCCTTCCCTCTTTACCCCTCCTATCTACTCCTTATCTCCCCCGTCTCCCCTTCCCTCTTTACCCCTCCTATCTACTCCTTATCTCCTCCGTCTCCCCTTCGCCCCCCCCCTCCACCTCTCCCCCCCCTTAGTGATCAGGTTCTCGAAGGTGCGCTTGTAAACCTGTGTATATGGGCTTCGCGAATGACCCTGTTACCAAGCTTGTGATGGAGTACCAATTAATACCAATTTTGCGGAGGATGGCTTACGGCCCTGTCACACGCCAAGCCACCCCTCTCTCCTTCCCTCCTCTCCTCGTTCCCTCTCTTCCCCTCTTTCCCTCCCTCTCTCCTCTCTCCTCTCCTCTTTCCCTTCCTCTCTTCTCTTCTTTCCCTCCCTCCCCTCTCCTCTTCTCTTTCCCTCCCTCCCCTCTCCTCTCTCCCCTCTCTTCTCTTCTTTCCCTCCCTCCCCTCTCCTCTCCTCTTTCTCTCTCTCCCCTCTCCTCTCATCCCCTCCCTTCCCCTCCCCTCCCCTCCCTCCACTCCCTCCACTTCTCTCCCCTCCCTCCACTCCCTCCACTTCTCTCCCCTCCCCTCTCTCTGTTTCCCTTGTTCCTTTCCTTCATTCTTCTAATTTTTCCTCTTATTTCTCTATTTCCCTTAACCCTCTCTCTTTTTCTTATTTTTTTCCCTTTTCCTCCCTCTCTCTCTCTGCCCTCTCTCTTCCCTTTATTCTTCTCTTCTTCTTCCCTCTTCCCTTTCTTCCTCTTTCTCATTCCTCCCCTTTAGGGGGGGGAGTGGAAAAGTGAGGAACTGACCGTTTTTTTCTTGTCTCTATTAAATAATCAATTTATTGTCTCCGACCATCTAGATAATATATATATTTTTTATTGTTACTTACGTTAAAACTGAGTTTATGATTTTATTTATTCATTTAGTTTGTTAGTCATGCATATATTTATTTACGTGTTCATTCATTCTTTTTTTCACTGTGTATTTTTTTATTATTATTATTATCGACGTCTGGCTAAATGGTCTACGTCATCATGACGTCACGGTTTCCTTATCGACCATGTTTGTTTACAAAGAGAGGAACTTCAAAAAATTTCTGTCCGAAAAAAAGTGAAAAATGTCACATTTCTTTTGTGTGATGGGATGTAGGAACTAAAAGCTTGTTAGTTTGTTTTTTTCGCATATCAAAAGCTGTTTGATAAAGAAATGATAATGATAATAAAACAAGAAAATAACAAGTGACTGACATAAAAAGGAAACTGATTTTCGCGAACTTTGGAACCGGCGAATCTGCGGGAACTCTCTTCAGGTAAATAAATGTTTTGCTTTGTTGTCTATCGAAAGCCATTTTTTCTTCTTCTTTTCATTTTTAATTTGATATTAATTTAGAAAAAAAGAAGTTCACCGGTGAATTGCTTGCCATGAATACTGTTCAGAATATGTACGTTTTGTCTTGTCTCCGCGACCTCCGTGTACGTCGGCCCTGGGGCAAAGGCCAACAAACCTCTTCCATGTCAGTTTGTCATCTGTAAAAAAAAAAAAAAAAAAAAATGGAGCCTCAATTTTTCCGATATTTGGTCCATTTCAGCATTTATTCTGGCCTGGTTTGATAGTTTTTTTTGTATCAATATTATTTTGTTTATTTCGTTTGTCTATTTAGGTTTTATTTTACTTGCATAGATTTTTTTTTGTGGGGGGGGCGGGGGGGATGAAAATGAGACTTTCGCTTTTTGGAGTATTTGTTTTCATAAAAATTAGAAGTACGACAGAAAATGTTCAGTCGTGGGCAATCGCGCTTATAGTTTTACATATATCTGAGATAGTACAGTATTTTGTGACTACTGTAATTGTACCTGGTAAAATTTTAAAAATATAAATCATATTTTATAAAAAGAAAAAAAATATATTGTGTTGATATGCTTTTATTATTTCATAGAGCTGTAATATTGAATACATTGAAAAAATGACTTGCTGACCATTTTCCGCCTTGAATGTAATAAAAACCGCCCGATTTCCGTCCGTTAAGAATTGCATCAAATGGAACACTAATTTTTACGATTGGCCGATGAAATTTTCACGGTCAAAATTGTTGACCGATGAAGTTTTTGCGGTCAAGATTTTTGGCCGAGGAAGTTTTCACGATCAAAATTATTGGCAGATGAAGTTTCACGGTCAAAATTATTGGCCTATAAGGTTTACACGGTTAAAATTATTGGCCGATGAAGACGGGAGTCCACTTTATTCTGTTCATATTATTTTCTTTTCAATTTGCAGCGAATTCTCCTTGTCAAAGTGAAAAAAATATATATCAAATACTTTTTTTTCTTCTTTAAAAAAAAAAATACACACTTTTTTGGAGAATAGCGACCATGAATCCAGGTTAAAATCGATGATAAGGTAGAGATGGATAATTTCAAATCACTGTCTTTCAATAAAATAACAACTACGCAGCATTGAGAAGACATTGGATCCTGTGTAAGAGGATTGAAGACATTCTGCGTCTCGGTTTTTATCCCTTTCTTTTCCTTTCTTTTGTTTCCCTTATTGAATATAAAAAGCAGAGAGAGGGAGAAGAAAGAGAGAGTGAGAGGGGGAGGAAAGAGAGAGAGAGAGAGAGAGTGAGAGAGAGAGAGAGAGAGAGAGAGAACAAAATTGAGAAAGAACTAAAAAATAAAAAAAGGAAAGTTAAGAGAGAACAAACCAACGAAAGAGGGAGAGAAAGAAAGAAAGAAAGATAAGAGAGAACAACCCAACACGAGAAAGAGACAGAAAGAAAGAAAAGAAAAGAAAGAAAGATAAGAGCAAGAAAACGAAAGCGAAAGAAAGACAAACACAAAGACAAAATCCAGAGAAAAAGAAAAGAGAGAGATTCGTGGTGGGGGAGAGGGAGGAGGAGGAGGGGAGGAGAGGGAGGAGGAGGAGGGAGGGGAGAGGGAGGAGGAGGGGAGGAGGGGCGCCTTTCAATATAGGGCAAGAAGATCTGTTGCACTAAATCCAACACAGTAAGTAGAAGGTTTCCATAAAGAGGGCTAAGAAACGGGGAAGCCCACTTAGTGCAGAGGAGAAGCCCTGACCACGATGGCTTCCGGACGCTGATGTCTATTTCGTGACGTCATTGCAATCGCTCAAGAGGAAACAGCGTGACATCGATTCCCGGTTATCAGAGGCGGATTTTCTTTTCTTTTTTGTCATATATGCATACATACGTATATACTGTGTGTGTATATGTATATATACATATGTATAAATATATGTATATATATATATATATATATATATATATATATATATATATATATATATATATATAAATGTATGAATATATGTATGTACTCGTATGCATACACACACACACACACACGTGTGTATATGTATATATATATATATATATATATATATATATATATATATATATATATATATATATATATATATTTATACACAC